AAAGAACATACCAATGTGCGACGTCAAAGACACCTCACCAACGCCAGAAACCACAACCTCACTCACAGAAGAACAACTCAATAACATCCATTCGTACAAACTTGGTAACATTAAACTCCTCGACAAAATTTCTTTTGTTATTGGAGTTTGTTTATTGCTCATCGGAGAGTATATCGTGCTTGTCCGCCCAGACTTAATGCACGTGTTCTATATCTGTATGTTTGTCCCTCTCGTCACATCAAGGTATTTAGTGTATCGAATGAACAAATGGCACTACTTTTTGTTGGACTTCTGTTACTACACAAACGCGACGCTCATTATCACAGTGATTCGCGCGTTTTATTTGAAACAAGACATTTCCTGGATATTCCCGACACTCTATGTCGTGGTTGGTGGTCCTTTGTTAACTGCAATTCCAATGTGGAATAACGCACTTGTCTTCCACGACTTCACGAAACTGACGTCTATCACTATCCACTTGTTACCAGGGATGGTTGTCTATTGTATTCGATGGAAGAGCGATATTCCTATTCCTCAAGAACTCGACTTTGTGAATGGGTTTGTCTTCCCTTTAATCTTTTTCTCGATATGGCAAACACTGTACCTCGTGATAACAGAAGGGTTTAAAAGAGAAACGATCTATGAGGAGGGATACATGACAAGTGTGAGATGGTTGGTAGAGGAGAAACCCCACAAAATATTGGTGTACATGAGGAAGTTCTTCCCCGAGAAGTTCTCATATCTGTTTGTGATGACTTGTGTGCAAGTTGGAATGTATTTCATGACAACGTTACCACAATTCTATTTGTATAAACACAGATTTGCACACCAAATGTGGATCACGTTCTGTTTTGTGTTCTGTGTCTGGAACGGTGCGAACTACTATTTCGATGTCTTCGTAAATAGGTACATCGACTATCTCAGCCAATTCAAAACTACCAACGCGAACAAAAAAGAAAAAGTCGTTCAACCAGTGGGTGACACGGAAAACAAAGAAAAGAAAGATTGATTGCTTGGTCGTTGTTGTCATTGTCGATGTGTTGTTTAATCTCAATAATTTCCGAAAGATCTTGAAATGATTATTATACTATAGATATAACTATATCGAACAACTAAAACGTCAAACTATAAACTATAATTTTATAATTAATTTACTATAAATGTATGATGTTGATGTTACTAGTATTATTTGAATACCCAATTTGTTACGATTAAAAAGTCTTATTATAATCCATTTCTTTGGAAGAAAAAACAACTCTTCCACTAAAAAAAAACTTGAACTTGGAATTAACACTTAAATGAGTTCAAAAGTGGTCGAAGACTATAACCCATTTGCAGATACAGTCTCTAATCCACCACCACCAAAAACTCGGTCGCCTAACCCATTTCTTACTTCCCCACGTTCACCACCTCCTACACTCTCAAAATCAACAAACCCTTTCGAAACAACATCAGAGGTCGTAAATACGAACCCATTTGCTGATGCACCTCCTCCCGTGGCAACAACTTCAGCGAATACAAATCCATTTGCTAGCGAATCGACAACAACAACTTCAGCAACGCAATTACCTTTGCCAGCGAAACCACAAGTCCCACCGAAGTCGAAAACTCCAAAACCACAAATTGCAGTGTCGAAAAGTCCGATTATGAGAAAAGAAGACGTGCAAGCACTTGATAATATTAACCCATTTGCGGATGGAAGTGAACAACAAAACACGTCGGAAGCACGAAGTTCACAAACGACTAAAAGTGTGAAGAGCGCACAAAACATTAACCCATTCAGTGATGAGGCACCACAAGTCAATACGACATCATATAACCCGTTTGGTGAATCAACTCAACCCAAACCACCTCAAGTGTTCCAAGAAACTCAAAAATCAAAAACACCGGAAAGTATTAACCCATTTGCAGACGCTCCTCCAGCTCTTGGAGAAGGTACTACTCCATTACAAACGAATTCTACTAACCCATTTTTGGATACAACACAGGTCGAAGGTTCTAACCCATTTTCAGACTTACCACCAGCCGTCAAACAAACCTCCCCTGGATTGGGAAGAAGTATAGACATGAAAAGTCCAAGAATATTACGCGGTGAAGGGATGACAAACAAACCATTTTCGATGACACAATCGACCCCACAACCCGTCAGACCACGGTTTTCATCCCCCGTGGAAGTCAAACGCAAAACACAGAAGAATGTGATCACACAAGAAAATGAAGAGGAGTGGGAGGATAGTTGGATGGACAAATCGACCTTTGATATTTCGTCACGAGGGATTGTAGCGAAGAATATTCAAAGTTCGAATGGGAGAGTTCTTTTAATTGGAAAGGAGAAGCACTACTTCTTCATGAATTATAAACCAATACTCATTCGAAACATCCCAAATCATATCACTAAGGCCGCAATTGATAAGACGGGTACACACATGTTGCTCTCCACTTTCGACGGAAAGCTCTTTTATGTGAACAAAGACCTCATCGACGTGGTGCCGATCAAAATTCCACAACAAGCCGATTCCAATGCTAAATATGTGTTCACGGCTATCAGATTTAATGGGAATGAAAGTTCGGAAGAACGTTTGAAAGTCATGGTAGCCACCGGGAATAGAAATATATTACTCTTGTACATTGACGTCTCATCTGGATCTGGAATTAAGACGTCATGCGAGGTGATGTATGTCAACAAGAAAAAGATGAATGCGGATGTAGCTCCATTCAACGCGATTGATTGGATAGAGACGTCGACGTCGACCATCATCTTGGCGTCCTCACCGAGTTGTTTACAAAAGATAGTGGTGAACACTAAAAAGGATATCATTAAAGACGAGTCGATATTGATCATGCCGTTGAAGACAGAGCCTGAGACTGGATATTTCTCATTGGTGCGTGATATATATGAAAAGAATATTATTCGAGTGATGTGGGTGTCTGGGAAGATGAAAGGATTAAATCAAGTCAATCCAGCTGAGAGCTCTAATATCGTGACGATGATCACTTTTGAGGTCGTTGGGAACGAGTTGCAACAGAATAGTAAGAAAGATATTATAAAGGACATTGTAGCTGCGTGCCAAACACAACATTATGTGTTCTATTTGTACAATGACCATATTGAATGTCAATCGTTGTTGAATGAAAAGAAGTGCGAGGAAATACTTGAAGGAGGTGCTATATCACTGTGTGCCGATTTGGGAGGAGAAGAAGAGACCGTCTTTGTGTCGACGGGCTTCTCCCTCTACAAATTTTCAATAGCACAGAACGTCGGAAAAGACGACGAACCTTTCAATAAGAAACTTTTGCGAGACATCTCTGATAGAAACAAATTGTTTGGGACGTTACTTAACCAACTGAATGAAGAGTCGAAGAAGGAGAAACAAGAGAACACGAAAATATCGTGTGCTGTGTTATACTGTTGGTGTGTCTCTATATTACTTGAACGGCTGAATGTGAGTGAAAAAGTCCCGCACATCATGGGGCAGATGAAGTCGTTGTTTTCCAAAGACTTTGAAGGGAAGGATATCATCAATAGTAAAATAGTGCGGTACATGGTGCGCAGTTGTGGGAGTGAAGAAGTCTTTAATGTGTATTGTGAGTGTTCGAAAGATTATGAAGGGAAAGTTGGTTATTTAATGGAGCGCGGGGAATATTCCGAAGTGATGAAAGTGATTCGTGGGTTAATGAAAAGTCGAGAGGAACGGATAGTAGGGGAGAGTCTAATGAAAAAGTACTTTGGTGTTTTGTTCATGAAATTGGGTTCTGAGAACACAAACGACTTCTTAGAGATCTTGGAGAATCAAGAGAGTAAAGAATATCCAGTTCTCTACAGTTGTTTGTTGATGAACGACGACAAAGACTTTTCCATTGACTTTGCGAGACAACTTTTAGAACGAAAAGAGAAAGGGAAGAAGAGTGGGAATGACAAGACAGTGGTCAATTACATCTTTTGGAGATATGTTGATCCGTTGAGTAATGTTCGAGACGAGGACGTTAAAAGATTTTTAGAAGAGAAAGGGAGATGGGATTCAATCGAATTTGAGAGTGGGATGCGCGCGCTGAAAGACAAGCGGTTTTATAGGACTTCGTTGTTTATGAATTTACAGAAAAAGAGATATGAAAGTGCGATAGAAGATGCTATAGTGTTGATCAACCAGTATGACACTATCAACAAAGAACAGAAAGATGAGGATGTCTCGTTGTTATTAAAGCTTCCGGGGAACATTACTAATGAAGATGAAAAGCGGTATTATTATTTAAGAGCAATGAGTGGCTATTTGTCTGGCGTGAAAACGTCGGGCGACCCAGAACAACGGAAAGCTATCTATGAGACAGTTATGAAGAACAAAATCCCCGTGGAAGACTTGTTACAACTGTTGCCGTCCGATTGGAATTTGGGGGAGTTCAAAGAAATTGTTAAAAACGCGATCGAAGTGGAAGACAAGAAGAACAAAAACTTGATGAATGAAGTCGAGCGGATGTGTGGCTCGAGTGCTAAATTTGAAAGTACCACTGCGAGATATAAAAAGTGCTATAAGACTGAACTGACTGCACTCAAATGCAACTTCTGCGGAGAACATATCATACCACAGAAGAAGGGAGAGTTCAACTTGGATGGATCAAGAGGGGCTATGTTCCCCTGTTCGCATTGCTTCCACTTGCTTTGCATCAAAAACGAATTCAAACAACACCCAACCGCCTTTGCTCGATATGTCACACAACTCATCATCAATGCACAAGATGAGGAGGAACAATTCAACTGTTATGCAGCAGAGTGTCCTATTTGTGGAGAACACAGTATCGACTTGATCAAGTTCCCTTACACCTCTGCCCAGAACGATCAGTACTGGAATCTTTAATTGTGTTCTTCCTTTTTTGAGGTAGTTTATCTAGTTTATTTTATTATAAAAATACTATATGTAATACCAATTTTGTCATCACAATAGAACAGTCAATCAATTGGATTTCTTGAGAATGGGAAACCCATAACACACTATCGAAGCTCCCATAAAGTACTTACTCTTACACTTTCTTTTGGCTTTGTTGATTACATCGATCAGATACCCCTCTTGATCACTTTTAAGCCATTCTAAAATCTCTAATGTCATTGTGTCTAAATCGTTATCAGGAACACTCCACAAGTTCCCACAACACATTGGAGAGCCAGCAACTAAATAATCGATAGGAACACCACTGGGATCAAACTCACCTCTTTGCTCCATTCGAACCGATTTACACCCCATCATCATAGAGACGGAACACCGTTTCAATTTCCGAATGCGACGACCAGGAACAAACTGCTCACCACTTCCGTGACCACAGTACATGAGTATATCATTCTCCTCAAGTGCTTTCAAAAACACATCAGCGTCGGGTATACTATTGGTAATGCCTTTCCACCCCATACTATTGAGAACGGGTCCAACACGTTCGACAGTCCTTACTAGGTCTTGTGTTGGGTTGAGTACATAGAAGCCCTTCTTTTTGTCGATATAAAACATATTGTCATCACTCTTGTTAATAGTGTTGAACGGTTCAAAAGAGGGAAGTCTGGAGTACATAACATCTTGCACATCTTTCATCGCCTCCCATGGCAATCTGTGGAACTGTTTGTCTAATATCAACACAACATGCACAGGCTTGTCTTCGACTTCTTGTAACTTGATCTGACGAAGACGGTGCAAGAGAAGCTCCCCTTCAATTGGTCCAACCAACTTCCCAGTGACATCCTCAACCCCATCAAACACCTCTTCGTCCGACAAAATATCGATATGACGAATGATCGAATAGAATAAGCTCTTATTTTTGATGTCACAATTCATCGACTCGTGTATGATCGAACGGAGGAATACATCCACATCCTCAGTTTCTTTAAAATCGACGGGAAAGAGTAACACACGGAGATACCCTAATACCTCTTTACTCATCGTTTCAGTGACACTTTCGATCTCTTGGTCAATGCTATGCACTTTGTTCCAATGACTTTTCTTCTCACACTCTTTCATGTGCGCACTGACACCACCAAACGCGTCTCTGATTTCCCCTTCAATTTCGTTGATTCTTTTTGTAGTGTCATTGATAAGACCACGACTTGTCTTCTTAATGACTGTGACGCAGTAATTCAGACTCAAATGACTGATCGCAATTTCATTCTTTTCATTTTCACTGGAGATACATACAAGACACATTCTACTCGAAACACTTTTCAAAATGTCGTGTAAGTCTTGCCCCTCATTTTCCACAGGAAATCGTAATCGATACGATAACCCAATCGATTTCAAATTGGCATACCCACGAAGGGGTTCATCTTCGACACAACAAATCATGTTATGGTATATCTTGTGAAGAAGAATTGGAATACCATACTCACTCCCACTTGTGAGTGCTTCATCTAGTACTTCGATTGCAATGTCTTTCCGGTCGTTATCAATTTCTCGCCGACCAATCTCATTCAAAATGCACACACGAGTGATCCCACTGATTTCATCGGTTTCAAGTAATTTATAAAACATTTCAATCACCTTCTCCCCTCTCTCCGCTTGTTGTGTGAGCTTCAGAATTTTATAATCAATCCGCCCTTTAATGGCGTAATACACCTCTTTTGTCTTACTAGTTTTACGGTGGACTATCTCGCGCTTAATTTCCGTCTTACGTTTCACTTCACTTAATCGCTTCAACTTCTTTGGTTTATCATAAAATATCGAGCTCTCCATGTTCTCGTAATTTTTGGGCATCTTCCCATCAAGCGATTGTCTCACATTGAATTCACGATTCGTCGAGTCGCCAACTTCTATTTTGAGCGGCTCAATTTTGTCACTTTGAATGACTTCTTCAACCAATTTCTTGGACAGTTGATAATATTCAAGTGCCTTTGAAAGCTCTCCCGTCTTGTTATATAAATCGCCGAGGCGCATGAATATCATAATGAGTTGCCTTTTAACAGACACATACCTTTTGATGGAACTCGATATTTGGTCGACAAAAGTAAATGCTTCAATCGACTTCTCGTAGTTCCCACACTTCATTTCAAGCTCTCCAATTTCTCCTTGAATCTCTATTTGTCGGCCATATGAACAGAATAGCTGGCAAAGTTTAAAACAGAAGTTGTAGCATTTCAAGGAATCCAAATAATTGTTGAGAACTTCAGTAAGCCACCCAAAGTGGATATACGAGTTGATCATGTCGGTGAGGAATGTCAGAACATTGGAGGAAAACAACCGTTTCATTTTGATTGGTTCATTCTTCTCGATTTTTTCAATCAGTTTTGAACGCGTTTCTATCCCACTTTTGCGTTGGTCAAACGACAAATTGAACTCTCCAATCCGTTCGTTGTATCCCGATTGAATGTCGAGAAATCGCCCTTTCAGTAGCGTTATTTCAAACGTCGATGAACTCCGTTTTTGCGTCTCATACAAAGAAATTGCCTCCGCAATTGTGTCGATCAAACTCTCGAAGTCCGTGTCATTCCTCGAAACTGTTTTAAGTAAAAAAGACGCCTTGAATAATAAAAATTCGATTGTAGTTAACTCCTTCTCTTCTCCATTCGGAAGTGTTTGGATTTTCCTTTCAATTTCAGTGATCACTCGTTTGGTAAAATCAGTATATCCCATTTCAATATAACACCGAAGGGATTCAAACTCGCATTCAATGCACTCTTCATCACTCAGTGGAGCTTCTAAAATGAGTCTTCGTAGCATGTCCACAGACTTGATCCAACTTGTCAAGTCGCCATATAAACAAAACATCCCAACATATTTAGTCAAGACATATACAACCATATTTCCTCGTTGTTTGTATTCCTTTGTCCCTTTATACCCGTTGTCTATCACTTCTATATAACTCAACCCTTTCATTAAGTCCAATATTTGCGCCTCATTCGTTCCATCTTTCTGTGTGAAAATGATGAACCTGAAATAGAACGCAACTGCAATGAGTGTGTTGACATCAATTGGACTTGTCTTCAAAAATTCGTTACTTCTTTCTCGTGTTTTGATCTCGTCAATTAACTTTCCTATTCCATTGTAGTCTTGTGAGAGAATAGCTTTGAAGACTTGTAGTCGAATGTCTTGGAACCCTTGATTGTCCTTTTTAAAGCTTTGCTGCTCTAATTCACAGAAAGTTGTTATTCCAAGTCTTTCATTCTCTTCAATGGTAGTGATCCTGAGCTGTCCAAGTAACAAATAAATCATCATTTCGGAGATAAAGAGATGCACTCGTTTCGTTTGATTCTCTTTCAAGTCTTCCAGTGTTGAAACAATGACGTTCACCAATTCCAAAACTGTTTTACTGTTCTTCTGAGTTTTGAAAGAGTCTCTGATGCTCTCAAACACAAAGACTTTGTCTTGAAACGTCGGACTTTCAATATTGAAAAACTGTGAAATGATCATTTGTGGCGACTCACTTCCCACATTCCTTGAACTCATTAACACCATCTTTTCTGAGTCTTCAATGAGTTTATGAGTGAAAGTCGGGAAGATACTTTTCTTGACTGTAAAGAACACATTAAGTGTATTAATCGCGCCGTAGTAATTCTCGCTTCGGTATAAGGAATACGCAATTTTGTATATCACATTAATCATCTCTTCCGGTTGCACTCGAAGAACCTTTGCATTTGTTCTCAAAACTTGTGTGATCTTTGTGTGGTAGAGATTATGGAACATTAACACCGCAGAGAGTTGGACAACGGTTTTCCCTACCGACTTCACGTCGATATTTGTCTGTTCTTTAGGCCCAAACCGTGGTTTTTCGTTATTCTCTGTTCTTAGAACTTGTGGGGAGATCTGAAAGAGTGTGCTGATTGCCTCCACAAGAGCTTCAATAAAGTGAAGAATTTCCAAATAGAATTTCTCGTCGTTTAATAACGCAAGGCGCTCTTTGAAACACAGAAAACCAAAAGTAGAAAGTGACTTTTCATACCCTTCAAATTGGTAGATGTAATTGAGTGAATTGGGAGATGGAAGTTGTGCAGACGAAGATAAATTTCGCAATGACGCTACTGCTTGATGCATCTCCTCCACCACTTGTAAATTTTCGTTCTTAGAAATCGAATTAGTGACTTTCAGAAGTGTTTTGTGTGCCATAAAAATGTCGAACACTAAAGAGTGTTCAATGTCCAATTCCTTACTCTTCACATCTTGAAGTTTCCTTTCAATTTTCACCGCAAATTTGATGAACTCGTCAAACGGCATTTTGATCGTAATAAACCCGCAGTAAATGAAGTCCAGATACACTTCAAGTGGATATTTCTCTTCTAATATTTCAATTAAAAAGTTAAGAAGAGGTACCGACCTTTGGTATATCACAAACCTCGAACAATATTCCAGTGTTTGTGGGTGACTTACCATCACCAAGATTTTTGTGAGTTCCTCAAACACCTCATCTGACTTTTCATTTGCAATGTACATATGGTTGAATGTTTTAGTCACTACCATTGTGATAAGTTTCCTCTCCCTCTCCATTCCGTTTCCTTTGATTATTATTTTCAGTCCCAAGTCAGTGTTTGAGAACACAAAAAGTGAAGAAAAAAGCTGAAGAAAAAGAGAATGAAAAAGAACTCCGACTCCAAATATAGAATCGTTGGAAACTAAACACCGACGACTTATTTATTTGATACACCAAAAAGACTCGCAGACTTAAAAGTCGTCCTCGTCATCAATATACCTCTTCCCACTCGACTTCGCTTTCTTCAATTCTTCCTCATCTTCCCTTCTCCCAATACGATCACTCTCCGCTTCTTCATTCAACAACTGCGCATATCCCAAATCCTCTTCGCTTCCCCCATCGTTGGAATTATCATTATAATGATCGTCATAATTGTCATTATCAGCGTAAGTGTTCGTGTAACTAGACGCCCCTCCATAACTACTTTTAGTGTAACTCTCATACCTCTCGGGGGGTTTGCTTTGTCGAATAAGAGGCGCAGATGGTTTCTTTGTTGGTGCTGATTTGAATGAAATCTCCTCGCCGTCTGCTTGCGCTGTTTTGCGCTTCATCGTCAAACTTTTTTTAGTTGGACCTTCACGCGTTTTCGCCTCTTTCTTTTCTCTCTCCATCTTCGCTAAAGCATTTGCGATTACAAGTGGATCAGCTACCCTTTTACCACGCTTGAGCATCTGAAGCTTTTCCTCATCAGATAATTGTTTGTTTACAACTTTAGGAGAGACAACGGCTTTGACTGAAGTACGCTTCTCACCCTGGACGTGTGGGTCGGACGACCGGCGCGGCTTCGTACCTTCACTCCTTCGCGAGTGTTGCGTCGATTTTCTCTCGGCCTTCTCTTTTGCGCGAGTTTCTTCTTCAAGAAGGTGTGGCGTATACATTTGCTTGAACCGCATCGGGTCGTTCTTCTTCATGTCCAACTGCTCCAACGACAACACCATTTTCCCGTTGAACCATCTGATCCCGTCACTCATCTATATTTTTTTGTTCGCTCGATTTTGGCCGTTTCTTATTCTTTTTTTTTTGTAATGACAACTTTTCTTTATAATTTCTGTTCGAGTTTTTACTAAGAAACAACATATTTGCAACACAAACAAATTATTTGCCAAAAATCATGATTTCTTGCACCATAAAAACATTAATTTCATTTGTGTTATTTTGTATAATTCTTCTTATTATAAAGTATAATAAATGGTACTATATTTTAACTACAAAAACAATATATTAACGAACACAAAAATACAGAAGGAGTCTTGAGATGGGATACTCACTCCCATCTCAAGACAACCAACCGCGATAAGTCAAAAGTACCTTCTCCAGTGAAATAGAGGTGTTTTGTTTCTGGGACGTTTTGGTATTCCAGAACAAACTTCTTCAAAATTTCAGACCGCCCCGTTTTGTGGATCCGATAAAACCGCTTCACGGAGAACATCGTCTTCTTGTCGCCCTCGCTCCACACACAAACGGTTTTCCCGTTCTTTTTCCTCTTGAATCGTTGTGGCTCGTCGTGGTTTCTGTTGAACAACGAGAATATGAAAAAGTTCTGGTCGTTGTTCAAATACGAGTATCTCTTCTTCGGTGCTATCGGAAAAGTCATGCTGTTATACGAACCAAACACAAACCCACTTGTTGTTATAGCTATTATCATCAAATTCCCTTTCAAACAGATCGTCTCATTTATACGATTAGTTGTCAAATTTGCAAACTTCTCGTCCAATATAACGTTAAAATTTCTCTTGCCAACCCATTCACATAAGGTCTCTTTGAAATAGTCCAAAATCACATCCGAAGAACTCCGAACAATGTTCTCTCCATCCAACACAAACGGAACGTTTTTCGTTTTCTCTTGGTCTATTGTGTCGTGCTTCTTCTTTTTGGCTTGCGCCAACTTCGCAAGTCGCTCTTTCTCCATTTTCTCTCGGGCACGAATTCGCTTTTGCTCTTCCGTTTCATCGTCTTCCTTTGGTGATTCGATTTTTTCTGACAATTGAAGATTTTTGGCCGGAGTTCCAATTGTAGAAGTTGTACCCTCCTTGGGCTGGAACAAAAAGTCCTTTCCATAGCGCGGCGTGGAGATAACAGGAGACGACGACATGTCTGTCGAGATACTTTCGCTTGATAAATTCAATCGGCCGTGTTTTTCATTCGTGTCTTTTGTTGGTGCAACACTTTCTTCTTGTCTTTCGTCATTTTTGGCGACCTTCTGTAAAGGTTTTAAACCATTTGAGACTTCGAGTTCTGGCGTTTTAATTTGGTTGTCGTCTGTTTTATCTTCTTTTTCATCATGAGAACTTTGAGAGTTGGTAGATAAATCAATGCTTTGAATTTTGTTATCTTTTGACGCTTCGACCTCGACAAAATTGTTCTGGATGTTATTTTGATCTTCCACTGGTGTCTTTTCCTCTTTTTGGTTGATTACATTAGACCCTAATACACATTGAATGTTGTCCTCATCACTTTCAATTTTTGGTGTCTTGTTACTCTCGTTTTTTTCTCGTTGCTTTCTATCGTACATTTCCTTTGCTAAGCGAATTTGTATCAACTCAAGACGTTGGTTTTCTTGCTTTGAACAACTTTTTCCGACCACCAAAATTCCTCCCTCACTAATAGGTTCTGCCTTTTGTTTTGCAACCATAAACTGGTTTATTTTTTCTTGGTATTGTTTCTCAGCATCGATTTGAGTTTGGATTGGTGTGGTCTGGTTTGAATTTTCTAATGTCTTGGTGTTGTCATTTTGAGAATCCAAATCTTGTTGGTCTCCCTTCGTTTGGTTTCTGATATTTTCCTCTGTCATACGCCGCTTTTCAGTCTTCACCTTTTCTATGCCGAGACGCTCCATCTCCAATTCAACTCTGTGCTTTTTGCATTGGTCGAGTTGTTGGGCGGTTTCGATTATCAAAATACTCAATTCATTCTTTTCAAAAATCAGTTTTTCCATTTTGCTTAACTGTTCTTTAATTTTCTCAATTTGGAACTCTTCTTCACTATTGGGACTTTCTGGAGGTTTAATCTCCGGTTTGGATTGCTCCAATTCCACAACTTTAAGTTGCGGAGACACTACAGTTTCTTGAATTTTTATTTCAACCTTTTCGTTTTGGTTCAAAATGCTTTTGTTGTGATTTTTTGGCAAAAGATCGTCGACTTTATTCTCGACTTCAGTAACTTCTTCTTGTGATTTTGTTTCAACTAACTCTTCGACCTTTTGTTCCTCAAGAAGAGGCGAACCACTGGGTTTGATACATAGTGGCGGGGTTGTGTTTTCAGGTTTCTTTTCTTCGTTCTCCGTTTCTTCAGCAGCACTGTTTTGTGTTTGTTTTAAAAACAATTCTGGAGGCACACAATGGTTTACTTCATTTATCTTCTTTGAATCGACACCTTTGTTATTTTCTTCTTGAATTTCTTTTTGTGGAATTAATAAGTCGTGTTTCTCGATAGTTAATGGTTGTGGCAATTTCATTGCAACTTCATTTGTTATTTCTTGTTTATTCTCAATTTTTGGTTCTGTTTCAACTTGGTTGGTTTCCTTTTTCTGAGTAACCGGTTCTTTGTTCTTTTCTTGAACCCCGTCTTTATGTGCCTGGTAAACAGTGATTGGAAATTCATCATCATCGGAGCTCTTCTTTTCTGTCATTCTGTCTTGTTCAATCTTTTCGTTCTCAATTTTTACTTCGTCTTTTTTGATTGTTTTTTGATTAATTTCGTTTTTGTTAATATTTTTTATTTCTTCAAATCTCCTTCCATTTTTTATCGAGACTTCAATAGAAACTGTTTGAGCGTCGAAATTCAAATCAAATTCATTTTCTTCATTTTCGTTTTTAATTGTGTTTTCAATTTTTAACGTATTTTTGAGACTTTCACGTTTTTCCGAATTCAATTTTTCTTCTCTCAGTCCACTTCCTCGTTTTGATTTTCTCAATGGTGATTGGACTATACACAAGCTTTTCCGTGGTTTTCGTATTCCCAAAATCTCGTCTTTCATCAAAAGATCTCTTTCTTTGTCAAATTTCAATCTCAGTGCGTCAAAGTCAATCTGAGAAGCTTGGCGGAAAGCAGTGATCTCGTTTTTCATTTCAAACATCCTCTTTGCAAGCATCATAGTGGTCAATTCATCGACGCCGACGTTCTCGACCTTCGTGAAGACCTTCACGACGCCGATCGTTTCAAGGGTGAACAACGGATTGTTCTCTCCCGCTATCAACATCACAACCATTCCATCACTCCATTCATTCAAAAAGTTCTGGCATCGCCATCCAGTTACGCTTTCAACCCATTCGATGACGTCGCTCATCGCGTTTCTTCGCAGCCCCAAAAACTTCTGAGCGGCGGTCGTGAAAAAGGTGAGAAGGGTTTTCTCGTCCTTCTTATTAATATCTTCTGCAGAACACGTCAAAAAAAGGCCAAGCTCTTTTGAAAATTGAAGCAGAGCGTTGGACGTCTCGAGACGCTGGAAGGGCGTCCGCTGCATTTTGGGGAAAGGAACGTGACACTTTGTTGCGGAGATCTTTTCTAAAAATCGGAGTAAAAGCTCCGGGGTCAACGACGAGAAGTCCGTGAAAGTTGTTGATTGTTCGTGGTTAACCCACTGGACCATCGCGTATGTCTGGATGGCACGATAACTTTCCATGGTTGTTTTTTTGAGATGAATGGGAACAGCTCCATATCCAATGAACGTTTTGTCTTTTTGAAAATAAAAAGCGAGTAAAATCAACGAGTATTAGGGCTTCTTCTTACTGTTTTGTAGGATTAGTTATATTTATTTATAAAAGACTTTTTGATTCATTGATACGGAAATTTTATAACAAGACTGTACACGTGGATGAAGTTGTATGAAAAAGATGGTATTCAAAGAAGCTGAAGGAGAAATTGCCTTAAATCAAAAGCAAAGTAAATTTGAAATTGTTAATATAGATTCGGATTATTTCAAAGGTAGAACAGCAAAATTGGCGGGAACACAACTTGATCCCCAATACATTCTATTATTAATTATAATAGTATTTATTATTTATTATAGTATAATGTAATATTTCTTGGTTAATACAGGGTTGTCGAAAGAGTTTTAGTTGAATTTTAAACTCATAATAAAACGTCAATAATCTTTATATTGATGTTTATATAGTTGTGTTTAGCTTAAAATGCTGAAAATGTTGAAATATAATCACTATTTTAATAACTAATTACTTTCATTTATAATTAAAATATTTAATATAAATATCTATAGATATGGCTTACAGTTGGAGTAATAACCTGTCAACCGGAACTAACCTGTCAGCCATTTTTTAAATTCAATTTATGGTATTTTAACCATTAATTTGTCTTTTTTAGATTATTCAAGTTCAACAAAATCAATAACAAAAAGCAATGAACGAATGAGATGTTTTCTTCGAATTTCAAAAACGAAAAAAAAGCCGAAAAAAACTTCAAAAATTTCCAAAATTTGTCCTCATTTCACCAAAAAGAGTCATCGTTTTATAAAACATTTTCTTTTTTACTTGGTTATATTTTCTTGATTTTTTTAGAAAATGTCTTCTCGTATTGAATCAATTTCAAAGTCTTTACCAAAAAGTTAAAGTGGAAGATATTCAAATCCCCCCAAACCCCAATTTTTGCACAAAACAATCCATTATTTTCATTTAAACAATTTTCTTTTAGGTTTTAAATCGTTCATAACTTTAAACATCCTTTTCATGTTGCCAAGTTTTTCATCACTGAATCTGATGTCCTGCTTCCCTAATCCTCAAAATCGCGTTGTCGCTGATCACAACACTGAAATTCCAAAAGAGACAAAAGAAACAAAACAGTTGAAGAAACCTTCTCTTTCACAAAACAGTATGCGTCAAAATGTCCAGAAATCAAAAGAGAATGGTATCTCTCCAAAGAGACTTCTTCTTGTTGAACAGGCTCTTGAACAAGCTTGGTAGGATGAGACATTTTTGAAGGAGACTTCCATGCGTGAACAAATCCATTATTTGCATTACAAACTTCATCACTCAACAAGAACTATCCAGATGCTTTATGGTGCTTCAAAATCCACGATAGACACCCACACCAGAAAAAAAATCGGAGAATTGAAGAACGGCAAACCTCCAAAAATCTCCAAAGATGTTGATAACAAAATCGACAAGTGGCTTGTCACTTGTAAACGAAAGGGAATTGCATGTACTGTCACTGGAATTCTTCGGTACCTGAGTCAAAAAGTACCCGACATTGAAATATCGCGACGGGGTCTCATTAAACACATGAAGAAGTTGAAGATTGGTCTCAAGAAAGCAACCGCAGAAGATCTAGACAGAATCTCCATCAATCCAGAGAACATTGTTGATAACTTCAAAGAGCTCAAAAAGTTTGACAATATACCAGCAGCCCTATGTGTAAACATCGATGAAATGGGAAGCAACGATTGGGCAGACAGAAAGAATCTATACATCTTCCAGAGTAATGAGGACAAGACAACCCCAAAGCACGGTTGTAGCAGGTCAAGTAAACATTCCACGGCGATAGTTGGAATTTGTGCGGATGGAACAACGTTGCCTTTCGGCATTGTCATCAACCAAAAACAGTTCTTTTGCGAAGCCAAAGAGAAGTTCCCCGACTGTTTCGTCTATTACACAAACAACGGGTTCGTCAACAAATATATCTTCAAGCATTGGATGGCGCAGATCATCAAAGTGATCGTCAAAAAGAGAACAGAACTTGGTCTTGATGGTAGTTGGGGACTTATCACAATGGACAACTTTTCGGGACATCTTGACGAGGAGCTTCTTGGATGGCTCGAAGCAAACCAGATCAAATTGCACACATACTGCCCCCATTCAAGTCACCTCACTCAACCACTCGATCTGTGTTTTTTTGGAGCAGTCAAAAAACACTCAAACGCAGCAAAGTCACTTGTTCGAAAGAGCGCTCCCACCAAAGAAATCACCACTATGTTTTCAGAAGTTGAACAAGAAGATGAGTCCGACCAGGAAGTCAACGACGCCTTCAATGAATTCATCGAAGATCCAGAGGACGTAGAGATTATGAAGTCGTTTGCAATGGAAGATGAAGCAATCAACAAAGTCCTTAATGGAAACAAAAGATCTCCAAACGGAAGGCAAATCAGCCTCAAAATCTCCTCACTTCTCAAGACTCTGAGTGATCGCTCAACCATTGGAACAGTGGTGGTTTCATTTGAGAGAAGTGGGATTGTCGTCAGAGAGGTAGATGGTATCAAACGAATAAGAATTGACCCGAATCGAGCTGCGCGGTTTGTAAAAGAATATACTTCCATCGCGACAAGAACGGACATTCTGGAAATGTCGGAAATTCCGAATGAACCCGTTCTCATTGGGACTGTCGATGAAAAGGTTGTTGAAGTTCCCAACCTTTTGTCGACTCTGGTTGCGACGATCACAAAAGGTGTCGAAGCAATAGAGAACATTTGTTGTTCCGAAGAAATGAGACAGAGTGTAATCCTGATACAGAACGAGATCCAGAAACTGACAGAGTTTAAAGAAAGGTACAACCCAAGTGAGAAGTCTTTGGAACCAGTTAAGTTTTATCTGGATCAAGACAAAAGGAGATACTTTGTTTCCAGCAAGCATGGTGACGATATCACGTTTTCAAGGAGGTGGTTCGAAAGGATGGATGGTGTTAATGTAACAGTGGTCCAACCCGATTGCCCCATAACCCCAATTCAAAACATCCCAGGAAGTTCCCAACAAAACGAGCAAAGAGGAAGAAGAACAAGTCGTAGAGGAAGAGCTCCAAGCAATAACAGAAGAATGGACACCAACAGCATTTCCAACGCCGGTCAAGAGACTTCCATCCATAATACTCAACAAGTAGAATTGCGACCGCCCCGGTTGGATTCTTTTCAACCTGACGGTTCTGGAACCCCCAGTTTCCAACCCACCTTCGCTGTTAATTATGTGACACTCGGAACCCCATTCGAAACACTGGGGTATTCTCAAAAAAGACAAACCTTTTTTCTCCTCAATTCTTCCCACATAGTGAATTGCAACAGCGTGGCAGAATGTTGTCCCAGCATCCCACCCATCAGCTTCAGCTGAGGCTGGTCCTCGATGACCAAAGCGTTGATGAAGAACATCACAATTAAGATGTCTTTTACTCTCATCGTTTTTCTTTTTTAGTTTTACTTTTTTACAAAACCCAAAAATACCAAAAATACCAAAAAAGCTGACAGGTTTCATTTTTGAGATGAAATCTCAAAAAACAAATGCCATAAAAAACATACTAATCCGGGTTTTAGGCTTCCTAAAGGAAAATGGCTGACAGGTTAGTTCTGGTTGACAGGTTAGTACCTCACCTGTATATCCAGAGGTTTCCAAAATAATTATTGCCGAAAATGTGGTATTATAACGTACGAATTTATAAGAAAAAATGAACATTTTGGTTATGAAATGGTGAAGTGGGTAATTAGGATTGTGATTTTGGAAACCTCTGCTTATATCCATCGTTATTTTATATAATTAAATATCGATAATTATAAATACAATAATTTATGTAATATGTTATACATATTGATTTAATTATATTTTTAATTTCGTTTATTTTTTTATTTCGAAAACAATCAAAAATGTTATATAAAATGTTTTTTGTTTCTGTGTATTATTGTAACTTCTGGAAAATTGTTGTGAAAGATAATAAATAATATACAGTATAAATTCTATCGGTGTGTGGAGTCATGAAAATGGTTTTCCCAAGGTGTGTAAATTTTTTTTTCTTTTCTTTTTTAATTTCTGGCAAATAAACTAAAAATTGATGAAATTTGTAAAACTATCCACAATCAAGAAAAATGACAAAATGTATTTTTTGTTTTTTTTTGAAAAAAAAACGCGACACGTGTAAACATAAAATAATATTGTGAATTTTTTTAAATTGTTTAGAATAAGAACAACGCATTGTGTTTTTGTATAAACACGTGGACTTTTGGTGCGGATTCTTGTCAATTTACAACTCGAGTGTACCTTGATAATTGCTTCAATTGCTTCTTTGTCTTTTGTTGATAACCTTGAAAAAATTTGCTTGTTCACCGTGTTATTACACGGTAGCATAAAATGAGTGTCGATTTTTAGCCTCAAAAGTTATCATCTTGCCGTCCTCCGCCTTGAACTTCTTTGCGTCTGCAACCATCTTGTCCACTTGTGCCTTTGAGAATCTTCTTTCCTGTTGTCTCGTTTTCAGCCGACACATTTAATATCCCATTTGCATTTGTGTCAAACGTGACTTCAACTGTGAGACTCCATGTGGTGCTAATAAGATACCAAACAACCCAAACTTTCCAAGCAGGTTGCAGTGTGATGTCATAGATGCCTCACCCTCAAAGACTTGGATGAGCACGCCAGGCTTATTGTCTGCATGTGTCGAAAATATCTGTGACTTCCTTAATTAACTTATTAATTTAATATCTGAAATTAATAAGTTTTGTGGTATCAATTCTGTCATCACACCAATCACAAGCGTTCTCTTGTGATTGGTGTGTGGTAGTCGGTGCATTTTTTATTATCATTTAAAGTTTAATATTTTGAGAGGAGCATTTTCTGCTTTTCTTTTCTTATCTTTTTTGAATTGATTTTTGTTTGATAATTTTTCTCTTTTTAAGTTTTTATTACCAAGTCTTTACTCTTTTTAAATAAAAACAAATTTGCAATGGACATTATTTTTGCGGGTTTTGGTGCCAAATATGTGGGAAATCATTATATTATATCGGTGTGTAGGTCACTTTTGATTGGTCAAAACCACACCGATAGAATTTCTACTGTATGATTTTATAATAAAATAATAATTTCTTAATAAACAACGTTTGTTGAATTACTTTATGACTCTTTTAAAGAGTGTTAACGTGATAGGGCGTATCCACACAGAAATTGTGAATCTTTGTGGATTGGAATATTTTGTGTGGATAGCCTCTTATTTTTTTGTCGAAAAAACCCAAATATTCGTTTTAAACCATATGTTATGATTTTTAAAATTAATAATTGTTACTTATAATCATTTATGGGACAAAAATGATACACAAACATGAATACCCCCATAAAGAGTATTTCCAAGTTTCGCAATAATTTCATAGTAAAAAAAAACGCTATTTTCAGCCTTTTTGTGGAGTGGTAAAATAAGAATAGATCAAAATGAACAAATAAAATAATTAACAAAATTTACGTGTATTATCCCGTTTATTTGATACATGTAACACTATTTTTTTCGTTTTTTTTAATTGAAAAAACATTTCAAAAGTGATTTATGTGATTATAATTTGGGAAAATTCCCGTTTTTTGCATTATAAAATATTTAATTTTAGTATCAATTAACAATTATATTATTTTTTTTGTTTATCGTGGCTCAAAATTGCATTTATTATCACTTTTTACTAATAGTATTGTAATTTATATAAACACTCCATTAGTTTATTATTTTAATAATAATATTTGAAAATTGAAATTTGTTAAATAAAGTTCTTTTAGTTGGCGCAAATTATACGTATAAAGACGGGTATTACATCCTAAATTATATTCTGGTTTTGTTGAAAATGTTAAACATTGAGGTTTTATGTCTAAACTAAACTATTAATTAATAACAATAAATTATATTACAATAGTACATTATTTATGAACATAAAAATGACAGAATAATCACAAAACAAATTCTATTAACATAGTTAAATAAAATGTAATTTTTACTATAAAAACGTTAAAAAGTTAAATGGCAAATTACCACATTGTTACCATAAGTTATTTTTTATGTTATTAAAAAAAATCATAACAACACAAGTTAATTAGAATAGAATTATACGGCAAATACGAACAAAAACCATCAAAAAATACAAGTCATGTTACTCATTACATCTAACATGTAATAATAAAGATTGTCTATCTATATTTACTATCCACACCTTTTCAGCTTATCCACAGTAAACTATGCCATAGTATTTTATGACAAATTATTTGTTATTTTTCAAATTTTTCAATTTCAATAATTTTTTTGATTAAATATAGTTTATACAATTAATTAAATAAACTAAAGTTAATTAATAAAAAAACTTTAGTCTTAAAATTTTTACCAAAAATATTTTTTTTTGCGGCAAATTAATTGAAATGGTAAAAGTAAAAGATGACTTTTACTAAAAATAAAATTTGATTTTTCTGTTTTAACTTTCAAAAAAATCGGTTTTTTATGAATTCGGTCCAAAAAACGTATTTTTTTCTAAACTCTTAGGCAAATTTTATATCAATTACAACAAAAATGTGTAAGATTTTTAAAGCCATCCACATAAAAGTGGTCTATCACGTTAACACTCTTAAATTTTGGCTTTGATTAATATATTATTTAATTATTACAAAATAAACCATTTTGTAATAAAATAAATCAAAACAATCAAATTAGTATTTATTATAAGTTTAAAACTTTCAAAAGAAACAAGAAGTATCATACTTCTTTGATACTTTCTGGTTCTTTTTTCTCTGAAGGAGAAATGACGTTCTGGAGGTTTTCAATGAAACTTTTTCTTGTTTCAAGAATTGAGTCGATAATTTCTTTGTTTGATTCTTTGTTTGTTATTAACACTTTAAACTGTTCCTCTGTAATCGTGAGTGGGTCGAAGTATGTTTGTGACATATGGAATATAGGAGTTTCTACTTTTTATTTATATTGAAAGCGTTTTGTTTAACTTCCAAATCTTTTTCAATAGTTTTTATTTTTATTATTGTGATTATTACGAATCACTAAATGTGATTCGTAATAATAACATAAATTAAGTATTTAAACTCTATATTTAAGGATATTTGTTATTAAACAAAGTACAGTGTTTATTGACATTTTCATAAACGAAAAATAATTACATGATTGTTCAAACATTGAAAAATTAATCATTTTGTCAAACTAAAATCCCGTTCAATCAATTTAACATCATTTCAACATCAAAATTATCACTTTTCTTAAAACGAAAAATCATACACAGATTTTTATTTGATTAAAAAACAAAACCTCAACTCTTTCAAATCATCTAATATATTTATATTATAATTAATAATAATAATATTTATTATTAATAGTTTATTTTACAATTAATTCAAATATAGTTAATTACTAATAAACCTATCAAATCAACAATTGTGTTTTAAAAAAAAGTGACGAATTTTGAGAAAAAGTGAAGAACTCAAAGCCGATAAAAAAAAGATGACACCTCAAAACGATATAAACACAATGAATTACTCACACAACGCATTTCTTTTCCAATCTGCGTCTCAAAGTGAATTAGCCCCAATCGACCCCATAATTCTTTTAAAATCCTCATCGTCGATTTGTCCTCTAAAATTTGTGACTTTCTCGATCAAATCTGGTCGAATCTTTGCCTCGACTTTGTACTTGTTTTTAAGTTGAGTTCTTGTTCTTGTGTAGTTGAAGTACGCCTCCAAGAGAGAGAAGTCCACTCCACATGCCATAAGACCTTTATAAAAATTACAGACCTCATCCTCTTTCCACCACTTTTTGTACGCCTTTCCTTTGTCACTTCTTGGCTTCATTTCCTCTTTGTGATTCTCCAGTGCCTTGTTCGCTTTCTCAAGTCGTTCACTTTTATCGGTCTCTTCGACAGATCCAACGCAAATCTCATCACAGAATCGGTTCGTAAACTTGTTCTGTGGTGCTTTAGAGAGTTTGAGGTGACATACCTCGGAAAGAGTTAATCCCACTGTTGTCTTAGCTTTTTGCTCGCTCATTGTTTTTTCCAGTTTTGTTGTCTACATTCTACACTTCTCTATCTCTTTCCAAACATTTCATCATTCACTTTTTTTTATATGCCTTTATTCATTTATTTATAACTTCTTTATAGTTCATATAAACTAGCCAAAACTCAAAAACTTCATCTCTGAGTTTTTTATTGTTTTTCATTTACGTCATTTGGACCTCAAAGTCTGTTTTCACCAAAAAATTCCACTTCAAAATTGTAATTTTCCGGGAAAGTTATTATTTAAATATAATTTTTCTGAGTTATTCTATTATTATATTATAATACTTAAACTATAATTCTTATTTATCATTATTTTTAAAAATTTCTTTTTTTTATTCTATTAAATAGTTTATAATAAGTTTATATATGAAATCTTTTCAAAAAACATTAATAGTATTTACAATAGTAAATAAAATTATATTTCTCTGTTTCAACCAAAAAAAAAAAATAAAACCATTTAAATTATAATAATTGAACCATTCAAAAATCATTATTGTATATCCCAATTTCCTGATAAAACGGTTCTGTTTTCCCCACTATGAATTGGGTAATGAATTCACAACACATTCAATTTGAAGTAAAACTTACAAGCAGCATAAATGACAAGAAGAAGTGCCGCAATTGCAAATCCGCTATAAAACGCGATGTTGAATTTTCTGCGACAAGCCGCACGTTTTAAAGCGGCCTCATCTTCTTGTAAATTACTTTGCATTTGTTGCAGACGGAGTGTTGACTCTCGAAGAGAATCATTTGCCCTTCTCACATTCCCAAGTATCTCAACTGCAACATCCACGTTATTCTCTGACGTCACCACAGATGAATTCAGTGGAGTTGTGATGGCTTCGAGGCTTGTCATGTTCTTGTATAATTTCAAGTTCCTTGCTATTAATTAGTGACTCTTTTGCTCTCGTTTACAAATGTCATGCCCATTTGACGTATTAGTGTTGTTATACCTTTCATCGCGACCTCCCGCCCGTCTCTATTATAACACCAATCCTCAGTTTGAATTGTGTCTTTTAGTAATTTGAAGATTATTTGTATAGACATCATTAATTCACTGCATTAAACACCAACAACCGTTTTAAGTAGAGTGTGCAGTGGAGATGTTCGTCTGTAAATTTCGAGTGGATATCTGAGAAGCCGTGTCCGAAATTGAGTGTAATTTCATTTGATGTTTTGATAGAGAAACAATTAAAGACGGTACATACAAAGCTCAGTTCGGCGTTATTAAAGAGTAAGAGTGAGGTTTGGTTGTTCTCGATTTTAAAGGAGAAGATTTTGTTGTGTGGGTTCTTAATCGAAAAAAAGAAGAAGGGTTGTGAACTCCTCGATTTGTTCACCAGTCGGCTCCGTGGTGGAGAATTGATGTGGGGAATATAACACCCAAAGATCTCGTCAGTCGTCCAAATCACTAAATACACTCGTTGGTGGAAAGATACTGTTGCGTTAAAGTGGCGAGGAGAAAGCTCGTAATAAAGGCTATCGTATAATGTTTCATATGTGCAGTGTGGGGTGATTGAGTCAAATAATTCTTCTATGGATAAAAACTCAAATTCGCGTGTTGATGAGTGAACATTAAGAGGGGTGTCTGTCTCACAAAAGTTGGCGGTTGATACAATGCGCTTTTGGTGCTGACTTGAAAAGGAAACACCCATTGATCTATAGTTCTGGTTTAATAAATTATTTTTATAACTTATTTTACTATAAATAATTATACAATTGTTAATTGTTAATTATTAATTAAATGATGTGATTGTAATTATAGTAATGGTATTTATATTAAAATGAAAGTAGTTTCACTTATTATTAAAATAACTAAAACTGATTGACATGTTTGTGATTCTTATGTCGGAATAAAGCAATTATTGTATCATCAACATCGAAATAGCCCGATAATTTACATTATTATTTTGTCTAATTAATTCACTGAAATACGAAATAGTAACAATAAAAAAAATTAGTTGTAAATTATTTTTCAAAACAACACAAATAAAATCTTAAGTAATATTTTTAAGATGTTAGAATAAAAAGAGACTAAACTCTTAAAAAGTGATAAAGGAAAAAAGCAAGACATAATGCAAAATGGTGCTGTTTTCCCGCATCAACAGACTTTCAAACGCATAAATCAACTCCATCTTAACTGATTTTTTATCCAAAAACTAAACAAAATAACCAAAGCAAAAAACAGAAGGTATAAAAGAATGAAGAGAAGGTGAAAGAGTCAAAAACAAAGCCGCCACACGTTCCAAACTTGTTATATTCGAAACCGAGAGAATTCTCCACCCGCTTCGGTCATTCAAAAACGAACTTCAGTGATCTCAAAAGTGTATTCAATATGACTAATATCAACGAAGCAACACTTCCAGCCACACATGGCGTCATATACCATCTCTCCGTCTCCGCAGACCAAGTTGCCAACAACATCATAGTAGTTGGTGACCCCGAACGTGTTCCAAAAATTGCCGACTTAATTTTCGATAAGACACAACCGATATTCAGAAAGGACCATAGAGGGCTTTCTGTGATGACTGGTAATTGTACTGGTGACAATTTTAGAGTCTCTATTATTACACACGGAATGGGTACTGGGTCGTCAGAGATCGTATTAAACGAGATTTTGGCTCTTAAGGCTATTGACATCGACAAGAGACAACCAAAGAAAGTCACTGAACCACTGAACATCATCCGTGTGGGGACTTCCGGTGCTTTGAGTATCGACACCAAACTCGGGACTACTATTTTGACGAAATACGCCGTTGGCCTTGACTCGACTGGACTCTTCTATGATATTAAACCACAAAACCCAAAGGTGACCGAACTTGAGAACACCATCGATAGGTTGCTCGATGAGGCTATTCCAGACAATCGCAGATTTAAAGGAAAAATCCACCCTTATGCATCAATGCCAGACACACGGATGGTCGAGGCACTGGAGAAGAGTGCGGAAAAGCACAAATTACCATGTAAAGTCGGTATCACTGCATCTGCCCCCGGTTTCTTTAACTGCCAAGGAAGACTTCTCTTCGATGAGTTGCCGGGAACAGTCACGTCTATTGAAAATGCACTCTCCTTCGACTTTGACGGTGTTAGGCCTGAAAACTTTGAAATGGAAATCTCCATCTTCAGTTTGATTGCTTCGGGACTCAAGTGGGTCAGATTTGGAGCAATGTGTATGGTCATTGCGAACAGGAAACTGAACACATTTGCAAAAGACACAGAGAGCAGTTTAGACCCAACTATTCTCACTGTCGTCGACGCTTTGAGAGAAATGGACAAAGTCCCACTTTAATTCATTCAGTTTTCATTTTTATTAGTCGACTCGTCTTATTAATTAATTTCTTATACAATTAATATAGTAATAAGACTAAAAGTTTGAATCGAACCAAATCACCAATATTAAAATTTGTAGTGATTTCGATAATAGAATTTTATAGATTTTTTACTTATTTGAAATAGTTTCGATGTATTTATAGAAAATAGACTCTTTTATTAATAAAAGAACTAATCTTTTAGTAACAAATGAATTATTTCCTTAAAACTTTCTTGCTTGTTTGACGACTCTCTTTCGTTCATTTCTTGGGTCCTTTTGAATGTGGTTGTTGTGTTCTGGATGTTTTGGACCAAATGGAAAAGGTGCAGGGACTTGAGAGTCCATTGATCCTTCAAAAGGAGCAGTTGAGTTGTCATCATGTGGATGGTGTGGTGGGAAGTGTGGGACTTCTGAACCAAATGGCACATCTGAACCGTCTTTTGGTGGGAAAGGTGGTGGGATGGTTGAGTCACAAGACTCACTTCCATCTTCACAAGGCACGTGTGGCGGATGTGGGAAGTGAGGACCGTGGTTGTGGTCATTATGTGGGAACTCGGGTGGTGCCATTGAACCTTCTGGGACTTGTGAGTCTTCAATTGGCTTCTCATGTCTTCCTCTGAACGCAAGTGCAGAGAAAATGAGTGCTACAAAGAGGATTTGTTTCATCTGATATTGTGGTTGATTTTCAATTGGCTTATATAGGTGTCCTTTGCGTCAAAGTTGCTGTTTTTGATAGAAAGGTATTTCGCATTGAAATAGAAATCCTACCATCTTTCCTACCAACAACAGAAGAAGACTCTTTTATGGTTTTTGATCATTTTAATATTAATTTAAGTACTATTTAACTATAGTTTTCAATAATAATATTTTAAAAAACAACCAAACTTTAATTTATAGTTTAACAATGATAATCAATTGATATAAAAAAGACGACAAATAGACTCAACAGATTCATCCATATTTTTTTTGAGTATTTGTTTTTCAAATTTTCTTTTTTACAACACATTTGAATATTATTTTTAAACTATATAATAGCATTTGTTTTACAACCCATAATCCATTCAGAATGGTATATTTAACTATATCAATACAAGAAGTCCAACAACTCAATAGAAATGGAAATCAATTATTGCCACACGCTTCAGGCTTTTTGTCGCCCTTATATTCCTTGCAGACGTCCCTAATCCAATCTTCAATAGTTGCAGCACCGCATGGAGATGAGTCGTACAAACAGTACAACTTGTCATTGATATAAACGGTAGGTGACCACGTTGAACCGAGTCTCTTGACGTCGTCCATACCATCCTTAATCAGTTGTTTTCCATACGCGTCATTTGTGCACTTTGTAATAGCAATTGGGTCAAGTCTTTGATGTTCTGCGCACAAAGTGAAGTCGAGTGGGACTGAGTCCAAACTTGAACTCAAACATTGATAGAAGCTCATAGCTTTTGAAGAGTTGTAGAGTGCATTGACGCATGAGAACATGAAGTCGCCTTGGACTTCAGTGTTTCCGTGCATTGAGTAATACCCTGTTGGATACTCCGTGTTTTCTGTTATGATCCATCCGAACTTAAAATCGATGATATCGCCAATTTGCTCTAACATTGGGTACAAAGCACCATTGACCAAATTTTCGAAGTCCGGGCATTTCGACATACCATGTGAAGTCACTGTAACTAAAGCAGGGCAATCCGCTAAAACTCGTTCTCTATACATATAAGGCACTGGGCATGACACTTGTGTTCCTCTGACGTCTAAGAGTTGCACACTTGAAACTATCAATTCCGGCAATTTACCACTGACTTGCGTGTTTTTGAGGTAGACGGAAGTGACAACAGGGGAATAATTCATAGGACTTAAGTCACCAGTGATATCATTATTGGAAAGGTCTATTAACACTAACGACTTGCCACTAAATAAACTGGAAGGAAGCTTGCCAGAGATCTTGTTGTGGCCCAACAAGATCTCGACTATGCTTGGAAGAGATCCCAAAGACTCTGGGATAGCACCAACAATCTGATTATTACTCAAGTCGATGGTAGCCAATTTGACTAAATTGGTCAGTGGAGGGATCTCTGATGTGATGCTGTTTGAGCCTAAAGACAGTGTTCTGAGGTGAATTAAAGTATTAATTGAACGTGGAATTGTCATCACTTTGTTTCCAGTTAAACCAATAACTTCAAGCAATGGACAGTTCTTTACCAAATATAAGATGTCGTCAAACTGATTGTTATCAGCATGGAAAAATCGTAATATTGTCCCTTCGGCATTGGCATAGCCACTGAATTTGTTGTTTTTAATTGAAATTGCCTCGAACAGAGAGAGCCCATTAAGTGCAGTTAATGATCCAGAGACTTGGTTGTTGTCTATAACCAAAGCATATAATTTTGTTAGACCAGAAAGCTTTGGTAAAACTCCGACCAAATTGTTGCTTGATAGGGTGATTTGGTAAACATACCCATCTTTGTCACATGTGATACCATACCAGTCGCAGACATCTACTTTTTCATTCAACCAATTCGTATTTTTGACCCATTCGTTGCCTGCCAACTCAGTATAAAAGTTGCTTAATGTGTCAAATTCCCCTGGCTGTGTCGCCAATGTGCTTATTAGAAACAAGAAACAAAGCATCTACTTTGGAGTTCTAAAGAGTTTTTTAAAGATGAAAAAGAGTGGCATTTTAAAAACCAATTCAATAACGACTTGCTGTTTTTACAAAAAGTTGACTTGTGGTTTATGTTCTATGAAATTCATGGCAAATTCATTGAAACAAATGCAAATGAAAAAACTAAGTGTTTGGAAAGATTTTCTTTTTTTATTAAAAAAATTAATAATTTTACTATATTGTATTTTCTTAATTCTTCGTCAAACACATTTTACAATCATATAACACCCTCCACACAACACTTTTGATCTGTTGTATTATTATGCTTTTTATTATATTATATTATAACATTTTTTTGTTAATTGTTTTAGTTTAAGTAACTAATGTTTTTATGATTCTCAAAAGTGGTAGTTCTTTTTATAATAACAAATAGATTTTTTGGATTTATTGTATTTTATAGTTTTAATATAATATTTTGTTATTCTTATTATTTACAAATAACATTTTCAAACAATAAAAATGTTATTATAATACATATTTCCCATCCAGATATTGATATTAAAAGTAAAGTTAAAATCTACACAGAAATAACACAGAAAATTTAAGTAAACACTTCAAATTTCATGAAAACAGGAAAAGAGGCTAAAAAATAACTAATTAAAATAATAAGGAGAGCACATAATGTTACAATTCAGATTGACCGAACCCCGTCTTTCCAATGTGGTTTGCGCTATCTTGGTGGAACGAAGGGTTCATAACAATTTGATTTGAAAAGAACGGGAGCCCCATAGGTGCTGCGAGTTGTTCCGAGAGCCCCACCAAGTTTTGAACGTTTAAACAAAATGCGTTGAGGTAATTTGAGTCGATGTTTTGTCCATTCGATGACTCCAAATACCTAAGTATCGATTCATTGTTCATCACAAGACCAGTGATTTGTCTTGATATCTCTTCTTTCTCTCCGCCATTAAATAAATTGAGTTTGAGTTGATACTTTGGTGGTTGTCTATTGAATTGTTCGAGAGTTGGGAGTTGGTGTAGTTGTTGGCATTGTTGTTGTGTGTACCCATTTTGATTAATTGTTTGATTCATGACAACGGGACAACTTGACTCTTCTATTGGAGGGACTTGAATGAACATAGCAGAACCTCTGTTATGTTTCAAGTGTCGTACTTCCTTTGTTTTGATTAATCCAGTGATGTGGGTATCAGAGTCTGTACTCATCGAATCCCCTCCCAACTGTGGGGTATACAACCCTTTAGTTTCTTCGCTGAGTGTTTGTGTTTCAGTTTGATTCGGAACTGAGTGCCGTTTCCGGAATTTCTCTTCGTTCTCTCGCTTCTTTGACACAAACTGACACGACCGCCTATTCATCGTTTTTTCAATTTTCGCTTTGGGCGACGGGGCAGTCTTGGGAGACTGGTTTTGTGGCGTCTTTTGATTTTGTCTACAGTACTCCTCCCAACCAATTTTCTATTCATTAACATTGAAAAGGTCTTTACTCCACTAGTGATATGAAGGTAACAACATACCAATTTGTTAAAGAACAAACCGATTTCAAAGGAAGCCAATTCAGTCTCATTGTTAGCTGTTGTAACGACTTATTAGGAAACAACATGGCTATTTCAAATATCGACTTCAAATTGGCCTCCGACATTTCAAGTTTGGGGATGTTCTGCTCTAACAGTGTTTGTTCTTCACTGCTCCAGACTACTGGTGCGGACGTTGGGGATGTCTCGGAACATACGGACATCTTGTCTGAAGCGAGCAAAGGTGAGATGTTCAGTTGGGTAGTTGTGTTGTAGGTGGCCATATGAATTTAGAGTTTGAAACTGTCAGTCAACCAAGATTGAGAAGAGACGCCAATTGATGTGTACATTCGGGAAATCTTGCCGTTGACATTTCTTTTCTTTAGTTTTTTTGTGGGATGATCAAAATATTATTAGGGCTGGACATCACTCACAAACTCCTTGATGTTGTGGGACAGAATAATTACATCGAACACTTTGGATTGTCCATGAAAATGTCAAGTGAACTATAAAAGTATAGTTTATTGTACTTCGTATATAAAATTTGTCTTATTTTTTGGCGATAAGAGACAAATTTGTTTTTTTGACACATTTCCATTATTTAACTGCGGTTGAACAAGCAATTCATTGGGGTTTTCCCCACGTAATTCGCCTAATAATATCGGAAAACTATTGTAAACATCTTATTCAAAATAGGTGTAATTAAGTGCAATAGTTTATATGTTATCATTTAATACTCCGATATAATTATGAGGGCAGTAAAAATTGGATTTTTTCGCGTTTTAAAATTTTCGCTACAACTCTAAAGACAGAACAATGAAAGTAGTAAATATATAGTAAAATAAACAATTCAATTTACAAATCATATTGTTTTCATTTCTGAGTTGATGATAATTTTAATTCTTATCTTTGCCTTTTTTTTTGATATAATCCATTTTTTTTGTTTATAAAAACGGGAATAGCATACAAAAACTAAAAGAGATTTTATTTTATAATGAAATTACTTATTTTTTTTTTTATGAAAAAAAAACAATAAATTCAGTCGTATTTTTTCCGTTTTGGTATTATAATTAAAAATTTGCTGTATGTTTTTCTTTGTGTTTAAATCTATTTTCGCGTTTTAGTTTTCTCAACTCAACAATCCAAAAGTCTTTGAAATCCATAATTTTAATATATTATTAGGTTGCTTATTAATACAGTTTTTATTTTTTAAAGGTCAGTTGTACTATTATCAATATTAATAGATACTAATAACACAACTCAAGAGATAAAATACAATAAATGGGTTCAATACACATACTCGTAACACGACGGATCTTGTTCGCTTCTCCTGATATATTCTTTCTCGATGAGATACTCCACCGTGTCCTTGATGAGCGAAATCGTTGGGACAAATTTGCTTGATGAAATTTTAAACACATCCGCGACCAAATCGTTGTGCGAAATGTACTTTTTCTGTTTCATGATGCGCACTATAAACGACTGCATCACCACTTTACGACTATTTTGAAGCTCTTTTTCAACATCACTTTCTTTTTCTCTCTCAGTTTGTTCGCTACAGTTGATGACTATTCGCCGAGTCTTCTGACTCAAAAAGAACTCACGCTTAATACACACCTTCCCTTCACTCTCTTCAATTACACCAAGCCGACGCAACGTCTCGTATGCCGAAAAAACTTGAGCCTTTTGGACATGCCCTTTTGCTTCCCAATCACTCCCATACTGATTGATTAAATTCATAACACAGAAAGCACTTGTTTGTATTAACAAATCAACTTTAAAACTACCAACTCTGACCAATACCATCGCTTTGCCTAAATGATTCAACCACACCAATTTCTTCGACTTCCCCTTCTTTAGATAAAACGCTTCATACTCCTTTTCCGCGGCACTGATGTCTTTGGGCAATATTTCAGAAGGGACGGTTTCATTACTAAAAGGCCAAACACCCAATGTGAGCACATTGACGTACAACGGTGTTTTAACTTTTTCGTGGAAAAGAACATCCAACTCCACGCTACTACTAATGTCACGGTTCATGTGATTTATTTTCGAAATGTACTCACAGCCACACACACTCCTGATTCCTTCAATAACGCATTTCTCAACACTCTCGTCAAACCCACTGATCGTGTTTAATAACCGTCGGGCGACTAAATTGGTGTTCATCACCATAAAGACGTCTTTGTTCTCAACGCTTTGCAATAAATTCATCGAGTTGTCGACTTTGCTTAAAACAACGTCCAACGCTTCTTTGCCAGGACCAACACGTCGTAACAACAAGTCGATATAAAGTGCGATGTATTTGGGGTGCTCTTCATGGTACATGTTGTCAGGACTATTTAAAAAGTTTGCAACACCGTTTTTAACGCTTTCCATGAAGGCAGAACTCCCCTCAAATACTTTGAGTAAATCCATAATCTTCAAATAACACCCAATGTACATTTCGATCAATCCAACGTAATTGGTGTTCTTCGTGGGTTTGTACTCGTCGAGTGCCTCTTTCATTATTTTGGTTATCCAAAAGGCATATCCCTCATTCAAGTCCGTCAACATTTCTCGTGAATTTGAACACCTCGAAAACGTTGTGTAGAGAAGTGCGATATCTTCTTTTATACACCTCTCAAAAATCTTGTTGATGTGCGGCTTTATTTGTTCACGCTTTTTCATCCACATCTCGTCCGACATAACGCTCATAATCTTTTCAAGTGTAATCGACTCGAGGCAGTTGCCGATCACATTCTGCTCTTTGGACACCTTTAAAAATCCCTCCTTGATATATTCGATGATTTCCAACTCATTGAATGTACTTGCAATCCAAGTTTCCGTCTCTTCTGTCAACTGTTTTAAATACGGTTCTTCAAATGAAGACACATATAACCCAATAACATCACTATCCATGACACTGTGTAACACTATCAAACTTTTGGTATATTCCCTCACAACTTCCAAACTCTTTCGTTCGTCGGAGACTCTTGCGTGCTGTATTAGTGTCGACGAGATTTCGTAAAGTTTTTTATTTAAGTTGTCGAAGACGTTTCTCTTCCACTCGATCTTCCCAATATCTCCAACATCTCTAAATCTCGACTTCCCACGCTTCTGCTTGATCTCCATTTCAATGACAAATTTGGTTAAGTATTTGCAGACCTTTTTAATACCATTCACCCCATTCTCAAATTGCTTGAAAAGTCTGGTATAATCCGTGAGAAGTCCGACATCGCTTTCTTTACTCAACTTCTCCGCCGCAGTCATCGTTTGCTTTGTAATGAAATTAAAAATGTCATAATAAAGGCGTTCCTTCAGTGTGTCATCCAATGATGTGCACAACGAAAAAACGATGTTGTAGAGCATCATGTATTCACTGCTCTCGCTCACCTCCTCCGAGTCCATCATCGTTTGGAATTTCGAAAAAAGTGTTGTTTGTTGTTCTTTGTATTGTTCTTCGGTACAATTCTTGGGGAAGAGTGATTGCATTGAAACTAGTTTTTTTTAGTTCACTATTAATATGTTCACGTCAATCACTTTCTTTTTCTCTGAGATTTTTTTCTTGTTGTTTTTTTGTGAATCTATTATTATTACAACAATTAATTATACCAGTATTTATATTAAAATAAGTTAATTATTAATTACTTTTTTAATAATTGATAGTAATAATTTATAACCAATTTTTTTAAACTATTTTAAATTTAATTTTAACCATAACACATCAATTCAGTCAATAATTAATTATTATATTACTAGAAGTAATAATAAATAAAATATCATTGTGATTAAATGACAAATGTCGATCACAAAAGTTGATTACGATGATAAAAAATAATACATTTAATATATTTAATTTATTTTGATAGTAACAAACAAATGAGTGAACACAAAATAATAAAACTCATTCACTTATTTGAATAAGGAGTATCCTCTCGACCGAAAATTGTTGACCGCTCAGTCCAAGTAATGTAGAGTCTTTAAGTTCCGGGTAAGTATTTTGAATATTATAACAATAACTATTAAAAGTGTTTGGTTTTCCAATTCGAATTCCGCCTTTAAATCCGATCCTGAAAAGACTATATTCCTCATCAGAATTAGGCATATAAAAGCACCTGTGGTTATTCTTTATAGTAAAAAATTGCTTTGGTTTTGTTAATGGTGACATAGTGTTTTTAAGTGAGAACACAAAGTGCGATGGGTCATCGACACTAAGACAAAGTTCCCTTACAGAACCCTTGTTGTAACACCCAAAAACGTTTCCAGCTTTGTCGATGATGACGTAGTAGATGTGCGATCTGTGAAGAACCAAATTTCCGATGAGACTAAGGTTAATAGGGTCGATGTCGGTATCATAAATAATATTGAACTTTTTGAAGCCACACCACCCTTGCAGTGTTTCCAATAAGTCACTTGTTATTTTCTCTTGCTCCATACTGTGACTTGAAGTTTTCTAAAAAAGCCAAAAATTTTTAATATTTAAAGTATAAAATAAATCATAATCTTATGGTAAATGGATTATTGAATAATAGAATTATTATTTATAATTCTAATGGAGCTAAATATTTTTACTATTTATTATCATATCTTTATTATTTGTATATAATAAAAGAAAAATATTGATGATAATAAAATAATTATTATTAAAATAATTATTGTTGATTATAACAGTTTAAATGTTTTTCGGAAATTTTTTAAAAGTATTCAACAATTCATTCATAATTGAATCACAAACACTCATTTTGTTTTTTTTCACGAAATTGACGGAACGAAAAAGCTTATGGGCGTAAATTATGAAACAAGGTCCATTAAACAATGTCAATTAAAGGACAAAGCATTATACAGCCCGGTCCGAACAAAGCGATTCCTGGAAAACCACTCGTATTTCTAAAATCAAACACAACGTCAAAACCAGATTTGGAGATCAACCAGACACCTTTTATCCTTGGAAGGTCCAACACTGTTTGTGGATATAAAGAAGACGTGATCAGTAATCGCCACTGTGTAATTATTGAGTGCACACCACTAGACTCAGACCTCACAAACATCAAAAAATTCTGCACCATCGACAAGTCAACAAATGGAACCTACATCAACAACGAAAGAACACAAAGGGGACAAGCCCAAGAGATAAGATGCTACGACGAGTTGTCTGTACTAAGACCACATGTGGACAAAGACTCTGTGAGTTATTGTTTTATTGACTTGCAAGTTTTTGAAGTGGAAAACACAGCGTGCAATGTTTTTAAAAAATATGAAATTGGGAAGTTTTTAGGAAGTGGTGGGGCTGGAGTTGTGAGAGAAGTGACCAACGGAGGGGAGAAATTTGCAATGAAGATACTTTTGGTTTTAGACTTGAGTGAGAAAAAAAGTAAAAATGTTGAACGAGAGTGCGATTTGCTCAAGAAACTTGACCACAAAAACATTGTAAAGTTTATTGAATGTCTCAATGGAAGCTATTTCAAGTACATTGTCATGGAGTATGTTGAAGGACATGATCTGTTTCATCTAATATTTACGAACAAGCTGATGAATGAAAAATACATACGTAACATCGCGAAACAGCTTTTCGAAGCGCTGAAATACCTCCACTCGCTCGGTGTCATACACAGAGACATTAAACCCGAAAACGTTATGATAACAAAAGACCAGATTGTCAAACTGACGGACTTCGGTTTTGGAAAGAAGGTCGACGACACACACTACGCCGAGACCCTTTGTGGAACGGATATGTACGCACCACCAGAAATACTCCGAGGCGTTGTTTATGATGGGTTCAAAACAGACGTCTGGAGTGCGGGTGTTTTGATGTTTGTAATGTCGACCAAGGAATACCCCTTTGTTTTTAATGATGAAGACGATGCAGAGGTAAAGGCTGTTGGACACATTTTAAAAAACGAGATTTGCCCAAATAAAGACTTTAATGAACGTTCTGAAATGTTAAAAGACTTGATTGGGAACATGCTTGTCCTTGACCCACAGAAAAGACTTGGTTTTGCGACTTGCCTTGAGCACGAGTTTTTTGAAGACGATAAGACGAATGTGGATTTTCCAATCAATTGCCAACAAAAAAGAATGGGCGAATTGTTTGGATATTCACAAAGTAAAAGTGCGTTTTGTATTTTTTACACCATTTGAATGGTTTCAAAAATCTTATTTTTTGCAAAAAAAGTGAAGTAATTTATGTATTGGAGTTTAGGAAAAAAATATAAATTGGGTTTAAAAACATTTCAAATTGTTGAGATTATAGAAGATTACCCAAAATATAATGAACTATTAAACTAGTTGATGCCAAAGACACCCTTCAGGAGAAAAACACGAAAGTACACACGCGAGTTAGCAGAGCAAAAAGAGCAAAAGAAACTTGACGAGGATCAACAACAAAAGACGACAGAAGCAGAAATCCCTCCTTTCGGTGTTCAAAAGACACTACTTGATACCCCACCCACATCAAAGACTCGGGTTAAAGACCGTGAAGAAAAAGAAGAGGGTCTATTAACTGATTCGGACGAATCCCCCAATCGGATTTCCTGCACATCGCAACAAAAAGAGGTTGTTCGCAACTCCGTTTCTCTTGCCGAGTCCCCCAAACACATTAAACAGAAAAAGCCTCGCAAAGAGCGAGTTGATCGGCCAACTTGCTCCATTGAATTGCTTCCGGATGTTGCGGATGATCCCTCACAATACTCTTTACCCAAAAGGCAGATTGCTCTAACATTCAAGAACTTAGCAAATTATGGGAAGTGTGGCTCCCTTCGAGTCAAAGAGCTTGAAAGGCGAGTATACAGGTGGATGCTTCCTGTTTTGGAACAACCCTTGACTTTTGTATATCCAAAGAGTACACCCGAACATCAGCCATAGTCTTCAATATAAGTATTTGACATGACACAAAGTACGCTCACCTGAATTCGATTTTTTTTGTTTCTTTGCTTTTTAGCTTTTGTATGTCGTTGTTTTATAACCAAATAATTGAACGAAATGCTACTGTTGAGCGTTCTATGAATGTCTCAAAAAAAGGAAAAGAAATGAATCAATAATTCCAAGCACTTGCGATGAGAGCGGAGATGTCACTTGGCGTGACACTTTTGAAAAAGCCTTTGTTCTGTTTGTCAAACGAAATCAAGTCGTCAAGATTTCCTCCACGACTCACTACTAATTTGACAAACCCTACTACTAAACTAACAATCCCAGAGAACACGTTGGCTTCTTTACAAATTGTCCCTGATATGAGTTGATCATATATCGGGCAAGTGTTGTGGACTGACAATTGTCGTGCAAAGAAACAGACTAACAGTCCATAGACCTGTTGTTTCACAATTAAATTGTCGTCATAATTTGATGCGAAGTCCGGGTCTTCTTTCCCCAATCGTGTCACAACGACTCTCCATAGGGACTCGGGGTGGAACTCGATTTTTTCTTTTTGAATTGGACACTTTGAAATTACGTTGTTCATTAAATACACAACTAGCGTGTATGTAGCAGCTTCCGTTATTTTAAGAACATCTTCACTTGTTTTTTCTAGGTTTTCAACAGTCAATTTGCCCATATAATACTCACAAAAGATCACAAAAAAGACGGTGACGATATCACCAAATCCTTGGAAATACCCCGGGTTGGGATAGTAGTGCTCATACATTCTTTTGATTCTTCTCATCCGCACACGGACGTCTGCCCTTTTAAATACGTCGACGTACCCTTCTGGAAACATGCGAACGACATCGACTTCAATAGTCTTCTCTTGCTTCTTGTCCAATTGAAATGAGTCACACTCCGCAGCTTCAGTCCAATAATCGTTGTACAACTGGTGTGAGCATAAAGTAATTACTTCGTCGAAAGTAATACCCTCTGTTGCAAAATAATACCACACAACCGGTCTTATTTCTTTCGCAATTCCATTTCTCACATCAAAAAAGAGTTTTTGCCTGTTATTTGTTTTAATATCTTTGAGAACGTCCACGGCTTTTGATTTGTTTCCTTCATAAGTCGTTGTATGTTGAAATGACCCGGAGACTTTTTTAATCACACTATTTGGGTACAAACGTTCAATTTGTTGTATTTTCAAATATGCAGTGTCTTTGATATCGTCCTCCATTCCATTTTCTAGTTCGTAAAACTAAAAATTTTGGTTTCGTTCTTTTTATTTCAAATATCCAAAAATAAAACACACTTTATACAATTAAAAACTGCCTATTGAATACAACAGGACTCAGAAAGTGTCTTCCTTCTTTTATTTTTCACTGGAGTGTGTTTCAGAGGCTCTTTGATGAAGTGGAAATTCGACACATCAAGTAATGAACACTCCACAAACACGTTCTTTTGAATTGTAAGGTCTCTGTATGTTGGTATACTTTTCAAACTTCTGCACTGAAAGAATGCGAATTCTCCTATACTCTTGACACACTCAGAACACTCAACAATGCCCAATTCATAACACTTGTAAAAACACTTCTTTGAGAGTTTGAAGACTCTGTTATTTAATACAACACGTTTGAGAGATCGACACATCATGAAACACTCAGTTGGAATAACACAAACACCACTTGGCACTGAGATAGAAGACAACGCTGTGCATCCCAAGAAACACCGTTTACCCATGACTTCCAATTGCTCAGGCAAGACTATGTTTTGAAGTGACCAGCAATCCTCAAAACTACTTTCTCCAAAAGAAGTGACTTGAGTGATATTCTCAATTTTAGTGAGTTTGGAGCATCCTTTGAATATCAAATTGTTGATGGAAACCACGTGTTTTGAGAAATGGACCTCACAAAGAGAACAACAGTTCAGAAAAGCAGAAGTTCCAATTTCGACGATATTGTCGTGGAAACTTAACAAGGAAAGTGCCTTGCATTCTTCAAACGTGGAGTTTCCAATTGACGATACGGAGGGGGGAATACTCAATGTACTCAATGAATAACATTTCTGAAAACAAAAGTCTGGGAGGCGAAGGATCCACTCATTCAGTTTGGCGTCTTTCAAAAAGTCGCAAAAGGCAAAACACCCCACCGACAACTGTTTCACGTTTTCTGGCAAGACAAAGTCAATCAGTGTAAAACATTTTGTGAAGCAAAATGGTTGTAACGCTTTGACTTCTTTTGGAATTGTTTTACCGAGTGTCATCACGTCGCTCTTATAATAAGTAATGAGACCAAATGAGATGTTCTTCCGTTGCTTTGAAAGTGCTAAGTATTGTGCGTATGTGAAGTTGATGTATTTGTATGAGTTAATATCATTAAGGATGAGATCTGAGTCGGAGTATATGTATTGAGTCTCCAACCCTTTAAAGAAGAACATCGTCGTTTGTGAAATAGGAATCGGGTTGTAGTGGAATTTGTCTAGAGTGTCTTTGTATTTCTTGCACACACAAATCAGGTTCAAAAAGTCGTTTGGAATCAAAAAGTACTTCGATACTATCATCGCAGAGTAGCTGTCTAAGTGTGATGATACGTGGCTTGATTCACTCATATCTGGTCTATTTTCAAAAAATAGATTTCTGAGATTTGCTTCACTTCTATTATTAATAGTATAATTAATTTTACTATATATGTATTAACATATCTCAATCATTTCTTTGATAGAATATATATAGTTTTTTGTACTATATTGATCTGATACACTTCCCCATAAAGACAAGTTCTCAGTACCACCAATAATATATACTGTGTAATATCATGAATCAGAAAGTATAAGTTATGGGGTATATAGATGTTAGTAAAATTTACAAAGAAATGATTGGCCTAATTATCCAATCAGAGATTTGTTAGAAATAAAAAGTTAATATAAAAACTAGGAATTGTAGTTTGGAAATGTTTAAAAACGACGAATCAAAATTATTATAATTATACCACCAAAAAAACTTGAAATTGTTTTTCCCAATAAGATAACAAATTCACATAAAAATAAATTTAAAAAACAGGATATGTATTTAAAATGATTGGTGTTTACCATAACTATAATAATGAATTGGAATTAAAAACCCTTTGTATTAAACAATTATTCTTCTGTTATAAAGATCTTTTCTTATTGGTTATATTGAAATGGTTTTATTATAATAAATATATAATAACATTTTAATAAAAAATATTTGTTTTGTAATAATTTATTAATGATTTTTATAGTATTAATAATTAAAATAAAACTATAATTTTTATTTTTTCAAACTCAACTTCATAGTAATATATAATAAAATATATAGTTTGAAATTAACATGAAAAACTGATTTGAAAGAACTCTCTTCGTAAATATAATACCTTCGTTTTAATCATTCCGCCAATCAGAAAGAACCGTCTCTCGGTTAAAATTAGCAAATAAAGCGAGAGACAGACGAAAGCCAATACCAGACGTCGCGTTCTGCCACGATAATCACAATTTGAGATTGAATTTATTACAACTTGATAAATTGCTAAAGTTTTATAGAAAAACATAGAAATACAAACACATTTGGCTTTTCAATCTCAAAGTGACAACATGACAAAACAAAATGAGTGCCTTACGAAAATTCAGATCCAACCTCAATATATAAAAGGGATTGTTGAACTCGAAAGTCTAACATGTCCGACGCCGCAGCGATCACTGAATGGGAACAGTCTCAAATCCGAACATATACTCATTGGGTCAATTACAACTTAGATGAAAAACACCAAATCACAGATATCACCAAAGAGTTGGGTGACAGTGATGTTCTCATTTCTCTTATTGAAAAATTGGCAGGGAAGACCTTTTATTCCCACAAACCAGCCGTTGCTAAGTCGAAGATATTTAAGATAAACAATTGCACCAAAGCTATAGAAGTCATGCATAAAGAAGGAGTAAATGCAGACATCTCTGCTGAGAACATAGTCGACGGTGAACAGAAGTACATTCTTGGCATGGTCTGGATGATGATTCTGAAATACAAAATTAACAATGTTCCAAAGAGTGACGAGTCTTCTGGGAAACAAGCAGCAGCACCCGTTGATGCTGCACTTCTGGATTGGGTTAATTCACTCTCTGATGTTAAAGTGACAAACTTTTCCAGTGACTGGAGCAGTGGAGAGGCTTTTGTCGCTCTTACTGGAGCAGTCTCGTTTGGAGAGATTGATGTCAATGAATTCGATGGACTTTCTCCACACGATAAAATCGAGAAGTGTCAACAAGCTGCTCAAGAGAAATTGAACATCCCTGTTCTTATGGATGTACAAGACTTGGCATGTGAGAAACCAGACCCCAAGAGCGTTATGACATATATCTCCGTCTACAAAGAAAAGTATCCAGCTTTACAACAAGCCCACGAAGATAAAATTAAACAACAACAAGAAAACGAAGAAGCAGAGAAAAAACGACTTGCAGATGAAGAAGAAGAGCGAAAAGAGGCCGAGCGTTTCGCCGCAGAACAGGCTGAGAAGGCGAGAATAGCTGCAGAGGAGGCTGAAAGAAAGAGAATTGCTGAAGAAGAAGCAGAAAAAGCCAGAATTGCTGCAGAGGAGGCCGAGAAAGCAAGATTGGCGGCGGAAGAAGCTGAGCGGTTAAGAAAGGAGAAGGAAGAAGCTGAAAGACTGGCAGCAGAAGAAGCCGAGAGAGCTAGAATACAAGCCGAAGAGGCAGAAAAGGCAAGACTCGCCGCTGAAGAACTCGAGAGACAACGACAGGCAGCACAAGAAGAATCTGAACGACAAAGAATCGCCGCGGAACAAGCTGAACAGGCCCGAATTGCTGCTGAGCAAGCAGAGAAGGCGAGGATCGCCGCAGAAGAAGCTGAAAAGGCAAGATTGGCTGCTGAGGAGGCTGAAAAACAACGCATTGCAGCAGAACAGGCCGAGAGAGATCGAATTGCTGCTCAAGAAGCCGAACGTCAAAGAATGATTGCCGAAGAACAAGAAAGACAACGTCTTGCCGCTATCGAAGCCGAAAGGCTTGCTAGAGAAAGATCATCACGTCCACAGTTCTTCGCTATTCAAGAAGCAGTCGACCAATGGGTTGCAGAGACTGTAAAAGCTGCTGTGGCTGCCAATCCAAGATTACAGTTCCAGTGGTGGTTCCCGTTGGTTTTGACATTGACTGGTAATGACTACAGAGAGTTGCAAGCATGGTTTAAGAAGATAGATAAGGACAAAAGTGGGACATTGGAATTGGACGAATTGTTGAAAGCGAAATGGCCAAAAGATATGAAAATCAACTCCGAGACCACCAAGAGACTGATGATGATCTTTGATGCTGGGTGCACTGGATCCATTGGTTTCTTTGAGTTTGTAGCATTGTACAACTGGGTTAAACTCTGCTTTGCCACATTTAATAGGTTTGACAAAGACAACAGTGATTCGTTGAGTCTTGACGAGGCACAAGAGGCTCTCCCATACTTGGGATTCTCATTGAATAAAAAGAACACAAACACTCTCATCAAGCTGAACAAGAACTTGTTTGGAAAGAAAAAACTCAACAAGGTGCAGTTCTGTTGTGCTGTTTCATATCTTGCACAATGCCGCACTATCTATCAACTCACTTTTGATACTCCAGCTGTTGACTTAGATAAGGTTGAGTTTGACAAATTTGTCAACCTTGTTTTGTCACTAGCAGACTAATTCATTTCCATTCTTAATCTTTGATTTTAGTTTATTTTTTTCATCACTTTATGTAATTCGATTGGTGCAAACAACGCTTAACTATTTCTATAAAGAACAACCAAAACAAATAATCGAAATACGAAATCAATCAAGGTCGGATTGCACTGAAAGCACTCGAGAACTTTTCTTTCTAATTGGTGCGCTCGGTTTTCTAGTGAGGAGTTGTGTGTTTTTTAATATTTTGACTTGTTCATCTTTAGGTTCTGGTGCTTTTGGGACTTTCTGCGTTGTTTCATTCTTTTCAAGTGGTTTTGGTATTTGAGTGGATTTTGCATTCAACTTGAGAACGGAAAATTCCGTCTTTTCGTCGGTGACTACGACGTCGTCGACGTCTTCATTTTCAGCGACTGTTAGTTTCTCTTGTTGTGTATCGGCTTTCTCCTGCTCGGAATAAGTTGTTTGAACTGCTTCCAACTCATTTGGGAATTTGTCGACATTTGTGTCGGCCATTTTGAACGTGTTGACGAGATAGTCCGAACTTAACATCTTCTCTTTATATTCTGCTGTAAATTCAGGTATTCGGAATAACTCGAAGAAGGTTGTGCGCTTTGCAAAGACATCGCTCCACAAATTCCAAGAAGGAGTGTCACTTTTTGTGGTGTGTTGAATCGAGTGAGAAATGTCGACAATCTCATTTTTCTCAAAAAGATCGACTGGTGACTTTGCGATGAATTTTGTTTTAAAAATGTCGTCTGTTGAAATAATTGTGTTTGGCGCATTTTCAGGTGTGTTGACTTTTTCATTCTTTGGTGGTTCACATGCCATTCCTTTGATTTCTTCATTTTCTTTTTCGACATCAATTGGAGTCGTCTCGACCATTTTCATTGGTGCAACTTTCTCGTCGTCGATAATTACAACTTCGTCAATTTTTTCTTTTTTGGAATTGTTTTCGACTTTTTCAATTTCCATTTTTTGGGGTATTTCTGAAGGACGTGGTACACTCAATTCTTCTTCCATTTTGTTATTCACAACAACTTGAGGTGTTTCAATTTGTACAACTTTGTCCACCTGTTCCTCTGTCTTTTCTTGTTGAAGTTGAACTGTTTGAGCGGAAGTTTGTTGTCCTAAAAGATCGTCCAAATTTTCTTGTGTTGTCGACACAACACCAACATTGACTTTATCCTTTTCGACAACCTCTGCCTTCCCATCGAGACACAACTCAACATCACTCCACTCCTCTTCCATGTCCATTCGAAAAAGAAAAACTGGAAACTTCTAACCCTTGTCTAGGGTTTGCCTTTTTCAAAATTATAAAGCAAGATGGGTCGTTTTAAGCTTTACAAGAAGTTCGTCGGGTTCTATAAGGTATATTGTGGACTTAAAGAGCCGATCCATGTCTACACAGATAGCACTTTTATCATCGAGGCAAACAACAGATCCATTTGGATATCAAACCAATTTGAAAAGATCTTTGAAGGGCACCCTAAAATTTATTTGACATCTTGTGTGTTAGCGGAGCTTGTTGGGCAAAAGCTCCCACCCCACCAGGTCGTGCAATGTACCCATCAAAAAATGGATGCAAAAGATGTTTGTTTTTATCTTATTGAAGCATAACAAGGAACTTTAACAACTAGTGTTTTATGTCACACATCAAAGCGTCTGGGTTTGATGCTCCGATGGGAAAAGCTATTCCATTTAATATAGTTATAGCAAGTATGGATTCCACCATGCTTACCTTTTACAGAAACACTCGGTTTCCATTGTTCACATTCGAAAAACAAATTATGAAATTCTGTCCCCCAAGCTATCAAGTACGAAAGAGGTTTAAAGAAATTATTAAACTTGCATCAAAACTCACTGAAGATGAAAAGAAAGCGGTGCAAGAAGGGGAGGAGGCTCTGCGCAGAAAAGAACGAGAAAAGAACAAAGAAGAGTTAGGAGCTGTCACACATATGAGAGGGTTGGTCAGCTTACGAAAAGCACTTGGACCAAACCCCTTATCTATCAAAAAGCGAGCTACAAAGCCAACGCGACGTGACGATGGCACAATAAAAAAGGTTCGAAGAGGTACCCGTGGTAATACCAAACAGAGAAAAATCCGTCGCGCTCTCAATCGACTTGCAGAATCCAAACAACCACAAAAAGAAGAAAATGGTGATTTAAAGTTAAGCGCAAAAAGCGAGTGATATTCCACTTGAATAGAATGTTAGGCATATGATTCAAAGTCTTTCCTTGAAGTGATTGATTGAGTAATAATATTGTTTTTATGGCTTTGAAGATTTACCACTTTTTTATTCTCTTTTTAATAATGGAGTTGTGAGTGACTTTAACCCGTTAAACTCTATTCTTCCCTATTTTTGTCTTGTTAATTTCATATCTGCTCAAATAGAATTTTTCTTTTTCTTTATTTTATCATATTAAAAAATCCCGTTTCTTGTAGTTTAAAAAAACGTAAAATAACTCAGATAATAAAAAAACAAATGGAAGAAACTATTTCGTGTCTTTTATTACACTTTTTTACTTCGAAAATTAAAATGCCTGTAAAATGAGAATCGCCCAAAAGTGAACTATTCATTACTATTGGACTGATCCATTTAACCCTTTCTCTTTCCTATTTCTGCATTGGTAAACTGAAAATTCACTCAAATGACCGACTTACAACAACTCCACCAGTATTTAATTGGAGTCTCTAACTCGTGGCAGAACGGCGCGGGTATCGCAAAAAGCACGGACATATATTTAACACACCTCCAGAAACCAGAGTTCGTCGTTTCACTTCTTCAGGTGGTGTTACAAACTCAAGACAATGAGCCTGCAGTTATCCAAATAGCTATCGTCTTCATTCGACAGATCCTTCAAAAGTATTACAATGAAGAAAACTATTACACACCAGAAATTCGAGAACAAGTCCGTACACTGTTGTTCACAGCCGTCTTTTCTAAGCCTGTGCATGCAAGGAAATTACTTTTGGCTGCTATTTCAATAGTTGCCGGAACGGACTTCCCAACAAAGTGGCCGACGATGGTCACTCTTATTCTTCAAACGTTTGCCAATGGTACACCAGAGCAACGATTTGTATGTGTACAGATTCTCTCTGCGGTTGCGAAGAAGTACAGAAAGATGGAAAATATTGCAAATGTTATCTACGAGATCAAGGAAATTGTGAAGGTCCTCCCAGTGATAATTCCAGTCTTTGTTGCCCTTCCAAGTAACGACCGAATGATTAACCCAATTCTGAAGTTCTTGGAAGGTATTTTGACCATCGAGCTTGTAGACGAAATAGAAAACGTCATTCAAACAGTCTGCGAGAAGCTTGCCGATATAATGAAGACGGGGGAGTCAAAGAGCCAATTGAAGATATTGAAAATCTATCGACTCTTTTCGACGAGGTATTTGGACAACGAGTTTTTGAACAGAACGATGACCACCGTGATGTACACAACTTCAGTGCAAGTGCTTTCACTGAACGTTCGAGAAAGCAAAAACGTTATTGCGGCGTATGATTTGTTAAACACGTTGGCTCCAACTTTGAAACAAATTCCAAACGACGACTTTGTTCGCTTGATCACTATAATTGCCAAGGACGTTTCGTTGACACAAGATGAGGCTTTGTCCGCCAAAGAAGATCCTGAAGAGTTTGTGAAATTTGAATTAGAAAGCGAGTTGATGTCTGTCAAGAAAAGTGCTGGAAGTGTGTTGAATTTGTTTAAACGTGTACGAAACGATACCGTGACTCTTGTCATGAGCGGAATTCAAAATCTTATGGCGAGCAATTTTGACTCGGCGATTCGGTTGTTTGTTGGGCTTGTTGTTGAAGGAGAAATAGCGAGATACGGTGCCACTAAAATCACCGCAGGTGTTGATGTTCTTCAGTTTTGGAATGTCTTTGTGAAGCCGAAATTCTTTGCCCATCCCGACATTTCTTCACTCAACTTTGTGAGAATGTTTCGAAGTATATTGCCAGTGAGTAATGCCGAGTTTGGAGAAATCTTTACTAAAGTGTTTCAAACCTCAGTAATTCCGAACGCGGATGGAGAGGATAAAACGTGTAGTTTACTTGCTGCGAATATTGTAGAAAATATGTTACTTTTAAAAAGCTCTGATCAGTACTCCAAATGCATGAATGGGGTAGACAGAAGTTTGTTGAGTGCCGCTTACCGGATGGCGTGTGAATTGACATCGAATGGAATTCGTCTGCACTCACAATATCATCTCCGAGCTGCTGTAAGAACATTGCAACAAGCTGCAAAGATCAATGTTCCTGTCGACCAAGGGTTGAACGATTTGGTGACATTTTTAGTGAAGGAAGCAGCAAATGAAGTGAATAACAAACAGATTGATGGCATCTTTGTTGGAATGAAATTTGAAGTGTTGTCTGTTGCTTTGTCTATATCACTTCCACCAATAGAAAAAGAGTTATATGCGATCACAGCGGAAGCGTGTAAAGTGGACAATGTCGATGTTTTAGGTTATATCTTACAACTCATGTCATTGTACGCGGACAAAGTAGCGTCTGTATGTGGAGATGTGTTAGCAATAAACATTAGTGAGCGGACCAGTTTAGTGAATCCGATGGTCAAATTCTTAACGGCGTGTTTGAAGAAATCGCCGAATTCATTCAACGAAGCGATGACAGGGAAATTGATTGAAATGTTCCAATTTCTCCTTTCAATCGACTTTGTGGACGACGCATTCAATTTGTTAAATGGAGTGACGTTCTACACAAATGTGAGTAAAATGCCACAAATCATTACGTCTCTTCTCAACACTATGGTGCAAAGACTTGAAGCTCATCAAACAAGACTGTTAATGTATAACATTATGTGTTACGTCTTACAACTGTGTTATGTATCAAACGTTGATTATATCGCAGCATTAAATATTCCAGTCCAGATCGTACAAATTTCAGTCAATAACATCTTTAAGTTGCCTTTGGAGATGAACCGCCCTGTCTGTGTTGTGGGGTTGTGTAAGTTGTTATCACTCCCACAATTTACACCAGTCGTCGTGGGACAAAATCTTGTCCTCTTCCTCAAAAGTGTTGTTGATACTTTGAAGGAGAAGAGAGTCATCGACTTCGACTTGGAGGAAATCGTCACAGATAAGACGTCGAATTTGTCCACAGTCAAAATGGTACCCGTGTCACCCGTTATCACAAATCTGAAGGACGAAATCAAAAACGCAATTTTTGCTTTGTTCAACGTTGTATTTGTGGCTAACGGACAACAGACCACACTTAAACAGTTTTTGGTCGGTGATGCCGCAGCTGTGTTTGAATGGATATCTAAAGTTTAGACTCAATTCTAAGGATTGCTTATTCTTTTTGTTATTAAAACGTTATTAATAACATTTTATTCGTAAATTTTTGTTTTTTAAGATGTAACTCTTTGATTTTTTGTTGTTTTGTAACAACTCTTTTTATTAGTTTGAGTATAGTTTATAAATAATATCTATTTTTGAGTAGTTAATAACTTTAGAATAGTTAATGATAATAATAAACATTTTATTATTCAAAGTGAAAAAAATAAAAGTTTTTTTTTGGTTTATGTTCTTTCGATCTTTGATTGAAATTTGGTCATTTTTTGTTAATTTTGCGCTTTGACTTTATTTATATTTTTATTAAAATAAAATAATATATAATTATATATAATATTTTAAATTAAATAAATGGTTATAAGAAGTTTCAGTTACTAACTACTCAAAAAAGTTTAACAAGAAACTCAAACCCAAAAAAGAAAAAAAAAATATAGTAAAACATATAATATATTACTAATGACTAATAATTCAAATTAAAGAAATAATTTCATATTTGTTTTTAAAAAAAGTTTATGTTAACAAATGAAATAATAAGTTGAATTAATAATAACCGATATTATAATTTAACTATAATTCAACCAATAATAAAACCACCAAAAATAGCTTTATTTAAAAAAATTGACCAATTGTTTCAAAGGACTTCATTCCATACAAAA